GAAAACCCTAGCCAAAATGGGGATAGATGGGACTTTTCTCAATATAGTTAAAGCCATCTAACACAAGCCTACAGCAAGCATCGTCCTCAATGGCGAAAAACTGAGAGCCTTCCCTCTAAGATCAGGGACGAGAAAAGGATGTCCACTCTCTCCACTGCTGTTCAATATAGTACTGGAAGTACTTGCAATAGCGATTAGGCAAGAAAAAGATATTAGGGGCATCCAGGTAGGAAAGGAAGAAATCAAGGTCTCACTATTCGCAGATGATAAGATACTATACTTAGAATACCCTAAAACCTCTTGATAGAGGTTTAAAACCTCTATCAAGAAACTTCTAGAAACAATAGACTTGTATAGTAAAGTGGCAGGCTCTAAAATCAATACCCAAAAGTCTCTTTCCTATATGCAAATAGTGAAAGAGAAGAGAGACATGAAGAAAACAACCCCATTCACAATTGTGCCCCAGAAAATCAAATATCTAGGAATCACCTTAACTAAGGAAGTAAAGGACCTGTACAAAGAAAACTACAAAACGCTACTTCAGGAAATAAAAGAGGATACGAGGAAATGGAAAAATATCCCCTGTTCATGGAGCGGGAGAATTAACATTGTCAAAATGGCAATACTTCCCAAAGCACTGTATAAATTCAACGCAATTCCTATTAGGATACCCATGACACTCTTCAAAGAATTGGAGCAAACACTCCTGAAATTTATATGGAACAATAAGCCCCCACGAATAGCTAAAGCAATTCTTGGGAAAAAGAAAATGGGAGGAATCAACCTCCCTAACTTCAAACTCTACTACAAGGCAGTAATAATTAAAACAGCATGGTACTGGAACAAAGGCAGAGCTGTAGACCAATGGAACAGGGTTGAATATACTGAATTCCCCCCCCCCCAAGCATATGAGCATCTAATCTTCGATAAGGGGGCAAGAAAAGTGAGGTGGAGCAGGGAAAGCCTCTTCAACAAATTATGCTGGCAAAACTGGATGGCTACATGCAAAAAAAATGGGCACAGATCTCTGCCTAACTCCATGTACAAAAGTAAGATCTAAGTGGACTAAAGACCTCAACATCAGACCGGAATCTATAAGATACATTGAGGAAAATGTTGGCAAAACCCTTCATGACATAGAAGCTAATGGTGTCTTCAAAGATGTCACACCGCTGGCCAAGCAAGTGAAAACAGAGATAGACAAATGGGACTACCTTAAACTAAGAAGCTTCTGCACAGCAAAAGAAACAGTGACCAAAATACAAAGACAGTCTACAGAATGGGAAAGGATATTCGCCAACTACACATCTGATAAGGGGTTAATTTCAAGGATATACAAAATACTGGTTCAACTCCACAAAAAGAAAACATTCAATCCCAACAAAAAATGGGGAGATGAAATGAATAGAAACTTTGACAAAGAAGAAATCTGAATGGCTAAAAGACACATGAGAAAATGTTCCACATCATTAATCATCAGGGAGATGCAGATCAAAACCACAATGAGATATCACTTCACACCACAGAGACTGGCCCATATCCACAAGAACAAAAGCAACCAGTGCTGGCGCAGATGTGGTGAGAAACGGACACTCCTTCACTGTTGGTGGGAATGCCGACTGGTTCAGCCCTTTTGGAAAACAGTATGGATGATTCTCAAAAAATTAGAAATTGAGCTCCCATTTGACCCAGCAATACCACTCCTGGGAATATATCCCAGAGAGGCAAAAAAGTATAGCCGAAGTGACATCTGCAATTGTCTGTTTATTGCAGCACTCTTTACAATAGCCAGAATCTGGAAAAAACCTGAGTGCCCGAGAACAGATGACTGGTTAAAGAAACTTTGGTACATTTACACAATGGAGTGCTATGTAGCTGTTAGAAAAGATGAAGTCATGAAATTTACATACAAGTGGTACTACATGGAAAGTATCATGTTAAGCGAAATGACTCAGAAAGAAAGGGATAGACATAGAAAGATTGTATTCATCTGGGGAACATAAAGTAACAAAATACGAAACTAACACCCAAGAATGGCAGAGATTAGTACCAGGAATTTTACTCAATGACCCGGAGGCCAACCACACATGTTAGGGGAAAAGGGAGCTCAGAAAGAGAAGGGAACACCAAATAAAGGGTGTTGGGAGGATCCTCCCAGGATGAGGAGCATGCTGAAAGTAGACTATCGACCAAACATGATTGCCACTCAATGCCTCTTTTGCAAACCACAGCACTCAAAAGGAGAGAGAGGTAAATGCCCTGCCACAGAGGCAGGGTGGGATGGGGGCTGGGGGGTGGGAGGGACACTGGGATCCGTGGTGGTGGGAAATGCGCACTGGTGGAGGGATGGGTGTTTGATCATTGTATAATTGAAGGCCAAGCACAAAAATGTGTAAGTCTGCAACTGTACCTCATGATGTCTCACTATTTAAAAAAATAAATTAATAAAAAATAAAATAAAAAATAAATAAAAATAAGAAAATAAAATGCAAAAAAATAAATAAAAAATAAGGTATATAGCATTAAATTTTAAAAAAAAAACCTGTGATTTACCAAGTTATTAATAGTTGAGTTCTAAGCATGTAATATTTCAACACCAGTCCCTCTGGAGGGTACTTTCATTTCATCTATTTTCAAGCCAACAGACAAATCTGAAGCACAGAGGTTTTTAGCAGAATTATTCCTAGTAAACACCCAGACCTTTGTTCCTGCTACCACAGGCCAAAGCACCTCCCAGGCTACCGCGGCTATTGTAAACTACTACATATTCCATGTGAGTGGCTTCCTGTCATGAATCATTGTCCTGGAGTGGGTCTCCATCATCTTTTATTGATTTTACTTCAACCCAAACATATACTTTATTTCTACTCCCATTTCCCCCTTATCCACTAGTAAGAATCTTAGCAAGATTATTAGCTTTTCAGTAGACAGCTAGTGAGTTTTGTGCTTTAACGTGAATAAAAGTGTTATCCTTATCCTTATCCTCCTGGTAAAGGACCTGAGTCAGAGGTCCTCACTGCCTCCTACTTCTTTCTCTCCTATTTCATCTCATCTACTTCCAACCTCCCTGTTCAAACATATGCATCTCTCTAGCACAATTGAGTGCAACTCGCCCATCCTTCACAGAGCATGTCCTCTAATTAGATAGGTCTAAATAGGTTCCTACCATTTTTCCTTAATCCCTTACTTGTGCCTTCGTATCGACTTTTCACTTTCCTTCAGCAGTTCAGGAGTTATCTCAAGCCAGTTATCTCAAGGAGTTATCTCAAACCTATTCCCTGTAAGGTTTTTATTTTATCTTATTATAGATCCTCCCTCACCTGTTCCAGTCACTAGATTCAGACCATCCAGAGGCAGAGATGGTGGTATCCATTTATACACACCCAGCTATAATCTATGGTATGTATTCAATAACAGGGGTAAGAAAAGAAAAAGAAAGCATTGTTTGAGCTAGGAGGAAAGTATCAATATATAGTTGCAATAACTAACCATCTTTCCATTTTAAACTTTATTCTGGCATAAAACAGTACAGAATAAATCTTTTATTGGCATAATAACAAAAATTAAGATTTTATTCCACTCTCTCAAATAAATTATTTCTATATCCTGACAATTGCACTAAGTTTTGCAATGAACACTGGTATGAACATAGTAAAAAAATAATGCTTTGTGTCTTAGACATACGATGCAGCCATAAGGAATGAGGAAATCATGCAATTTTATACAATTGGATGGGGCTGGAGGAACTCATATTAAGGTGAAGTAAATCACAAGGACAAAGACAAACACTGTGTTCCCACTAATCTGCGGTATGTAGAATAACTTGTATAGGGAAGGGAAGATATCAGTGGTAGGCAAAACACTGGTTCTAGATTACAGAAATAAAACTATGAGGGAAGGAGATAAATGGATGGGAGGAAGCAAGAACAGAAGGTCGGAAGTAATATAGATGCAAGAGCCTTGGGCTTGTCTGTAGCATAGAGGTGAGGGATTTGCATAGATATCAAACTATTAGACCCAACACTACTAAAAGAAAGGTACAGTAATTAAACCTAAAATGTATCTGTCAAGAAATCTGGTTACATGAATGAGAGGGAACTTGGGTTCACTGGTGAAGGGATAGAGTCACTGGCTGTGGGATAGATGTTGGGAACACAGGATGCCCAGACTCTACTGTAAGTCATTTGTTTAAATAGAAATATCTTTTAAAGGAACTGAGTTCATAGTTTTAGAAGACATGCCTATGTCCCTCCAATAACTGACATCCTCCCCAACCAATCCCAATTTCCAATGGTTGTAGAGCAGCTCTATATGGTCAACATGGTTATTTTTGGCTCATTTTTGGAAATATCAAAGGAAAAAAGAAATAAAGTTCAATGGTATTGCATGAGCTGAAAGTCAGACAGCAGTTACATTGATATAAAGTTAAAATGGCACCAAGTGACTGGGTACTGCTATTAAACAAAAGAGGAAAACTCTCTGTCTCTTTCAGAGTTTCACCAACACGTACTGGAATGTTGTGCATGTATATGAAAAATTGGCAATGGTGGTTATAAATGAAGGCAAAAAGTGAAACTATTTTTAAAAGAAGCTCTAAGAGTTACAACACTACATTTTAGCATGTGTAGATTTATTTTACTTAGAATGCTAAGCCTCTGTTTTCTGTTCCCAGAAAGAAGATTAAACTATTTTTCTTTCCTTTTCTTGCAAAAATTGGATGGCTTGAAAATGAAGGCAAATCTACTGTGCATGGTTGCTAGCAACTAGAGGGAATTATTAGAAGCCTCCCACTCTTCAGTCTTCCAGTTCAATTTTTTAAAAGTCAACATAAAATGTTGGTCATTAAAACAATGTTCCTTTCCAGAATCTGGATAATTTAAAGCAAGCCCAACTGGAGTTCCATTTTAAAAAGTCTAAAGAGGGAAATGAAAATGCACAGAATCATCTTGCATGACATGGAAGGAGGACAAGCTTCTCTTTTACAGAGGCCAGTGTCTTACCTGTATTCTCATGCAATGAATGACCTGTGCCGGGAAGAAGGTGCTGTTCGCTGGCTTGTCCTCTCATGAGTTTCCAGTGTGATTCTTCTGGGCCAAGTGGCTCCCAGCCACAGAAACTGGACTCAAAATCACACATCAGACTGTGTGCTGTGGAGCATGAAAAACAGAGAGGAGAGAAGTTGGGTGATGCAGTGAATTATTGTGTTCATTGTAACACTCAACTTTGCAGTAGCAAATAATTCCACCTTTACAGTAAATTGTATTTTCAGAATTCCAGTATGATTTCACTTTTTCAACTTCACTCCACATCCCACTGACCTTCTATAATCTTCTGCCTTCAAGACTGATTCCTTGTGTCCTGGCTGGCATCTCCAGTAAATTTTATGATGCAAGAAGAAACAAGACAGGAGGGGCAATTCTTTTAGCTACCCATGTGGTAGTAAAAATTGCTATTTAAGGACCAGAGGATTAGGTCATGGGTCAGGAGCCATAAGTTTCATGTTAAATGTCTTGAGTTTGATCCCCAGAACCATCTGAGCTCCTGAGAGCTACCAGGTATAGCCCTGGAGGCCTCTGAGAACTGTGAGGGGTGTTCCTCATGATCTCACTGGGGGCCAACCTGAACAATGAACAGTCTGACAAAAATGGTTGAGAAACCTCAGGATCAATCCAAGGGTCCCCTTTGTATCACTTGGAAGGTCTAAAACACAAGCAAGCAAAAATACACTGGGTTGGGAGCAGGGGTGACAAAGCTAATTCTGGACATTTGAAGAGTATTATCACCACAGTGCTCTTTTATTATGGTATTTTAATAGAGTCTCAAAAACATTCTTGTCACTTTGAAGCAGCAGATGAATGACTTTGATTTTTTTTGTCAAAACACAAATAAAATCTTAGAAAATATATATGTTCCTATGTTTAGTTTTAAAAAGAGATGAAAGACCCCAGAAGTCACTAGAAGAAATACTTTCTAGAGAAAGTCAGGATTTTAATAAGGTTCATAAGCATCAGTCCAATTTTTGTCACCAATTAGTGGGGAAAAAAAACACAGCAAGGTTCAGACAACTAGACAGAAAATTAGAAAACCTCGTAACTTGATACATGATTTCAAAAAAATCAGTTTTCGTCTAATTAAATTTTCTTTTGCTAAATATCAAAATAAAAGCTATCAGATAGACTTGGGTATAAGTCAATGCAATTCTAAGATTATTTCCAAATACTCCTTTTTATGCAGCTTTACAACAGTGAATGGCAGACAAAATAATTCTTGGTCAGAAAAAATCCATTTGACAAGCTCTCTGAGACCACATACAGTTCTCTTTAATAATAACAACAGAAGACAAGCTACCACTAAGCTCCTGGTATATGCCAAGTACCCTGCATTTATTACCATTATCTCTCAGTACTCTGAAGTTATTACCATTATTCCTCACAAATGTCCTACACAGCAATGGTAATCATCTCCAAAGAGGAATTAGAACTTCAACATTTTGCTACTTTCCAATGTTAAGTTTCAGTAAATGGAACATGCAGGCTTTGAACTATCTGGTGTCAGAGTCTATACACAAACTTTCTCAAAAGTCAGGACTCTATATCACAACCAAATCCTGCCTCTATGTACTTTTTCTTATTTTTAATGATAGGGCCATTTCACCAGTCTATTAAATAAGCTTACAACACCTAAAGAATCAAAAGACTTTCCAATATCTATAGACAGGGATGCCTGGTTTTGTGACCAACTACTTAATCACTAACACATCATTATTTAAAATAATAAAGTACACCATAGCCCCCCCAAAAAGTATCGCTTTTTTATGCGTGTATCTATGTAACTATTCAGTTAGAATAGTTACACTCAGTTGGACATATAATAAGTACATTTATTTTTCCTGATAAGAAAACTATAACCCTTAGATGGATTTCAAAAAACATGTTTTTTAAAGAGTGAATTAACAAGACAATCATAAAAACAATGCTGCTGATTATTAAATGTGACTCAAGATAACAAAATGCCATTAGTCCATAGACCCAACTGGAGATCTATAGCTTCTGGACATAATTTTCTTTTCTCAGCTCTAACTCAATCCCACAGAATGCTTTGGAAACAAGTTACTCCTTCAAAAGCTAGAGGAGTACATGGGTTATGGCATTTGCTTTGCATATAACTGACCCTGGACTGGAGCGATAGCACAGCAGTAGGGCGTTTGCCTTGCACGCAGCCAACATGGCCGACCCGAGTTCGATTCCTCCACCCCTCTTTGAGAGCCCGGCAAGCTACTGAGACTATCTCGCTGCATGGCAAAGCCGGGCAAGCTACCCGTGGCATATTCGATATGCCAAACACAGTAACAAGTCTCACAATGTTACTGGGCCCGCTCAAACAAATCGATGAGCAACAGGAAGACAGTGACAGTGACAGTGATAACTGACCCTGTTTCTATTCCTGGTCCCCAAAGAATTGCTGAGTGTGGTCTAAGACCCCTCATATCTCAAGAGAAAAAGTTGCTCCTCCAAGAGCACATCTTCTATGTCTTAGTATTAAATACTCATGACCCAGCTTTGATTGTCTCCTTTGATATCCAGAATATTCTCTGGTTTAGATTTTTGTTCACTTTTGTATTTTAACCCCGTCAAGGTCTGTTCCCCCCTCTTCTGAAACCGTGGGTATAAAAATGCAAGATTAAAAGTATATCCTTCACCTCTGAAAAGTACCTAAAAGTTCCAAATTCTTGGTCTGAAGTTTAGTCAAGAGTTCTTCAACCCCTTTTTGAGGAGAACCCCAATTCCTAGTGATCCCCTACCCTGTATGAGAAAATTTTTCATGGGCTGTGACCACCCCTCAGTGCTGGCCCACTTCATGACCTCTGCTCTAAAACTTGATCACTTGATCACTTGACTTCCCATTACTCATTGATTTGCTCGAGTGGGAGCCAGTAACGTCTCCATTCATCCCTGTCCTTCTCTGCTCCAACATGGTGATGAATTCCTCTCCTTTCCTATTGTCGAATAATAAATTCAATGGTGTCTTATGGCAATGTATATGAAGCAAGTCAATGCAGAAGTCAATGTCATTTGCTGCAATTGATCTCTGAACTAGTTATCCTCTGTCCCAACAAGGAAAGGGTGTGAACCATTCAGAAGGCCAGGAAGGGTACAGTTCAAAAGCACAATGTGTCCCAACCATCACACACCACCCTCAGGCAGACTGCACAGCTGTGCCGTGCTACTCAGCAACAAACAGAAAGAAAATTCCAGAACAAAATAACTCTCGCTTGTATGAACACTCAAATTGGCTTGAGGAAAACCCATTCCTCTTATTACCCAGATGTTTTATTAGTAAAAATGACAATAATTACACTCCTCATGGAACACTGAACATCACTGTCTTTTGAAAAATGAAAATTAATTTTTAAAATCCATCACCAAAATGATACTGAGAAAGCTAAGCAGAGCAATCACCTCTGTAAAAATACTGAATTGCTCAGCTGTTCTTACCACTGATATTTGTTCCAGTACACTTCAAAGGCCTAGTTTTAAGCTAAATATTCTAAAAAGTAACTGCACTATAAAAGATAAATAAAATTCCAGTCACCAAAACTGAAGTTCTTTTATTAATATTTCCCCATAATTCAAAAACTTTTAGGTAAACTAGATAAATATTAGGAAAAAATAGAACACATGTTAAGTGTAAGCAACTAATAAATGCTTTTAAATGCTCAATCTTTGTAAAATGAAAAAAAACTATTCATAGTATTAAAAAGTTTGCTCACCCATGGTATTTAAATTTAAAAAAATTAATGTGTTCAAAATAAACAATGACTTTTATATTGCTTTTAGAAACTTTCTGCGATAACAAAATATTTTACCACTTTGTCATCATAAAATGAGATATGACTTCAAATTTTAGTGAAGTTTTACTGAGTTCATCAGTTAGAGTAGTATTTTTAAATTATGACAAAGACTTCTCTTGCATATTTAAGCAGTACAGCATATTGGCAGAGAAAAAAATTTCATTGTGACAGCTGAAAAAAATTCTACTGGATCATGAAAATTAAAATATTCATGAAACCTCTAGTTCAAAAAACATAAAAAGGTATGCATAAGAATGAGTTCAGGATATTCCACTTAATAAATATATACTAAATGTTATTATAACTGTAGTAAATAAAGGTTTTGCTAATATTTTATGAGAAAATACAAGGATCTTTTCTACACTGTGCATACTTATATTTGCCTTTCCCTTAGGAAGCATTTTATTATTAAACTCAATATATTTTTCAAAATACATATGACATATAAAAAGAGTATCAATAAAAAATAAATATGTAATTTAGGATTTTTTAAAACTTTATTCACGTCAGATTCCCGCCTGAAGCCCAGTGGGGAAAGCGCCCGTCCATCTCCGGGGGACCGACCACCAGTCCGTCGGCTCCTCCCCTCCAGGTGGGTCGGGGGCATCCAGCCAGGAAGTGCTCCTGCCCACCCAGCCGCGCCTCAGATTCCCGCCTGAAGCCCAGTGGGGAGACTGTAGACCACCCTTCCTCCATTCCAGGATCCTAGGTGGGTGTCGCCTGGGACAGGCTTGGGGCGTGGCCACCAGGAAAGGGGAGTGGCCTCTTAAAAGCGGGCGTGGCCATCTCCTTGGTGGCCGCTAATGCAGCCGCAGTTATATCACTCACATCAAGCACTGAGGACTCCCATCCCACAACTTGCTCCCTAATACCAACCAAAAATTTCCTACCTCTTCTACTGCAATCTAACAACAACCCACTCGCCTACTCAAGTTCCAACAAAGACCTGTTTGAAAACAGCTGTATAAGTTCATTTCCAAATAGCATCTCCTCCAAAAGTTTCACTCAATGTCTGTTATAAAACAAAGAATAACGCCTGACTGAGAAGAACGTCAAACTCAGAAACGTAGAAGGGTGCCTAATATAGACAAAAACTTATCCAGGTACAGCCTGCCCCACGGCTTGAGACTCCCCCAGGGAATGCGTAGCTAGCTTGATCCCGTAGAATTGCCGGTTTTCTCCCGTGACCTGCACGGGACGGGAACTGAGGCAACATCAGATCCCGTGGCAACAAAGCTGAAGGGATCCGGGAACTCTCTCCTCACTCAACCAGAATAGTAACAGTGAACGTGAAGG